TACAGAGTAAGTTGTAGGATACCCAAGTTAAGGCAATGACAGTAAACCACTGAAAACAGAAAGTTGGTGTAGATGTAATTGAACAAGAGGGCCATGTCCCAGCCCTAGCAAGCAGCAGAACTTGGTAGTTTGGGCCAAGTTGTTCTGGCTTTAGAGTCAAGAATACAAGAAAGGGGTTATGGAATCTCCCTCTGTGACTAAAGAAGGTTGCCGAGAACAGGTGTGTGTCAGGGGTCCCTGCACAGAGTCCCATATTATGTGAAGCTGTAAAGGTGAAGCCTGGATTGCTGTGGAGACTCCAAAATGTTGACTATGCCCAAGTCATGAGATAACTGCTGAAGAATGCTACCAACAGGGAGTGGAACCAGCCCAAGAGAAGGAAATATGGTACAGTCAACAAAGCTGGATGGAGTTGGAGATCTGAAGAACATTTTGACATCAAACATGGAGATGCAGAGTTTGGAGTTTGCCCAGCTGGTTTTTGGTCTTGTTTTGGTCCAGTATTTCCTTACTATGATCCATTTTCTCCATTTTGAAATGGTAGTGTGTCTGCAGTGCCACTGTATGTTGGAAGGATGTGATCTGCTTTTTTTTAAATTTTGATTGTACAGGGGATTACACTTAAGAGATTGCATGAGTCTCAGAAGAGATGTTGAACTTTGGACTTTTAAGCAAGTTTGAGACTGTTACAGACTATGGGGACCGAACGCATTGCTGCATCATGGTATGGCTGCATGCCTATGGGGCCGGGGAGTGGAATGTGGTGGGTTAGATAGGTATGACCCGCCCCCCCCATAGACTCAAGTGTTTGCATATTTGGCCTATAGAAAGTGGCACTATTAGGAGTTGTGACCTTGTTGGAGGAAGTGTGTTACTGTGGGCACTGGTTTTGTGGTTTCATATATGCTCAAGCCATGCCTAGCGTGGCACACAGTGACTCTGCCTGCAGCCTGTGGATCAGGATGTAGAACTCTTAGCTCCTTCTCCAACATGATGTCTTTCTGTGTACCATCATGCTTTTCCACCATCATGATAGTGGATTAAACCACAGTAAGCCAGCACCAACTAAATGCTTTTTGTTGTTTTTTTTTAAAGTAAGACTTGTGGTGGTCATGTTATCTCTTCGCAGAAACAGAAACACAAACTAAGACAATATATAACTTATAGTAAATTTCAGCACAGAATGGAAAGCAAGAAAATATTAGAAAGTTGTATAGAGGAACAAAATTACTCTTCAGTATTCACATCTCAAAAGGTGGCCATCAAGAGCCTTCTTAAGAACCCAGAGTCCCCAGCCTTCTTCCTTCCCTTGAGTCATCTCACTGGTACATCCAGTCCCTTCTCCATCCCCTCTTCATTGTTCTCACAGTTGAGATTACCTGTCTGCAAACAGCTTCTTTGTCTAGCTCTGAAAGCTTCCGAAGTGTTTGTATTATTCTTTCTGGCTTCAGAGAAAAGGGCCCGCCAAGTAGAAGCACTTAGGTGGAAAAAACAGATCTTTCAGAATGCAAATTATAAAAACTCATTCTGTAGTCATATCAAAAGCCATCTCCTGCTGCCATCAAATGAAGTTGTCCCATCTGGGAGGGCTGGAGGGCTGCTTTTCCTATTCATTCCTCCCTTCTTTGCACACCCGAGCTAGCATACACAAAAGCTGTGTCAACCAGTGTGATTCATAGGACTTGGTTGCCTGTGTTTGAACATGGAAAAAGGATAGGGATTTTGAGCTACAAACATTGCCTTGGTATGAATATTTTTGTAAATGCAAAATGCAATAAAATAGATGTTTGCATGTCTCTAATTATTACAACCCTTTTAATAAGGAGTGATTTTTTTGTATATGATAAGGAAAATAGCTCCACTGTCAACATCACCTCCATCTTTAATGTTCTGTATTTCTAGGTTACTGACTTTTCTTGCCGAGAACATTTTAACATACACCACCCTCAATTTTGGCTCTGCTCCACCTTAGGTTCTTAAACCCACATTGGTTTCCCATTCAAAGACAAGCAAAGTCAGTGGACTAATGATCATAACATTCTACTATCTCTGTGACCAGGCAAAATAGTCTGGATTACACATTTATTTACATATAAATATCACCCTGAGAGCTGGGTTGTCTCAGCTGTATAAGTCTATTAAAATCCATTGTCTTGAGGTTTGAAATTGGATTTTAGTTTAATATTTATTTCAATTTTACATATGTGACTTATTAAACACTTATGTGCTTATTTTAACTTTATTTTCACTTATGTCTTTTTGTGTGTGTGTCTGCGCATGTGTGTGTATAAAGGTGCCCATGGAGGCCAGAAGAGGGCACTGTATTCCCTGGAGCTGGAATTAAGGCATTTATGAGCATGCTGATATGGATGTTGAGAACCAAATTTGGGTCCTCTTCCAAACTGTAGATGGAAGTTTCTGTTCTGCCCAGTCCTGCAGTTATTCAGTCCCAACAAAACACACAGAGGCTTATGTTAATTACAAACCGATTGGCCTATTGTCTCAGGCTTATTATTCACTAACCCTTACAACTTAAATCAACCCATAATTCTTTCTACGTTAGCCACGTGACTTGGTACCTTTTATCAGTGAGGCATTTTCATCTTGCTTCCTCTGTGTCTGGCTGTTGACTGTAGACTGAGCCTTTCCTCTTCCCAGAATTCTTCTAGTCTAGTTTTCTTGCCTGGCTACTGGTCAATCAGTGTGTTATTAAACCAATACAATTGACAAATATTTACATGGTACAAATGCATTATTCCACAGCAGCAAGCACTCTTAACAGCTGAGCCACCTAGTCTGGTGTTTTTCTTTATGGTGTACCAGCCTCAAGTATCTTGCTATCGTAACAGAAAACTGAAATACAAGGATTAAAAGTTGACTTACCTTCTAAGCTGAGTTTAATTTTAACTCCAACATATAAGCCATGATGCCTTGAGCTAGTTGTCCCTCTTTATTCTTCATTTTTCTTATCTTCAAAGCAGGGTAAATGTGTATAAATTTCAGCAACGCCAGAAGCCATAGGTGAGAGTTCCAGGTGGAATTTAGAGCTCGGCAAGTAGCCCACTTACTATCTTCTCTTGTTTCTTGTTTCCTTCTTTTCCTTTGTCTTTAATGTTCTGCTACTTAAAAGAGTAGGATAACTACATGATTTTCATCAGGTTCACCTTCTTATTTAGCTTCTCTAGGATCACGAATAATAGGCTCAAAGACCTTTAATTATGATTAGAATCCACTTATGAGTGAATACATACCATAGTCCTCTTTTTGGGTCTGGCTTACCTCACTCAGTAAAGCGTTTTCTATGTCCATCCATTTGCATGCACCGGACTGAGCCCCCCCAAGGTCCAAATGAGGAACAGAAGGATGAAGAAAATGAAAAAGGAAATAAGAACTGCGAGGGATGCGATCACCCACTGATACAAGGGGACTGATCTAATGAGAGTTTACCAAGGCCAGTTGGACTGGGACTGAACAAGGACGCAATCCAACCAGATTCTCTGAATGAGGCCAGATTCTCTGAATGTGGCTGGCCCGGAGTCTTTCTGAAAAGCCATTGACAATGACACTGGGACTTGTTTTCTCTGCATATACTGGATTTTGCAGATCCAGTCTGTCTGGACACTCACCTTCCTGGACCTGGAGGGAGGGGGGAAGAACTTGAACTTCCCAAAGGGCAGGAAACCCTGACTGCTCTTAGGGATGGAGAGGGAGGAGGAGAGGGAGTGGGGAGAGTGGGAGGGTGGTGGGAGGAGGGGCGGAAATGGAAACTTTTATAATTTAATAAAATTATTTAAAAAAAGAGTAGGAGATGATTCAACAAAGAGAAAGGGGACCATAGAAGGGTCCTATGGGACTCTTTTTCTGTTTTGCCTTGTTAAATTTTAAACAGATTTTCAGAAATGACTGCCATGCAAATGTACATCTTAAGTACTAAGTTTTAAAGTTACTTTTGGTGTGTGCTAGTGTGTGTGTGTGTGTGTGTGTGTGTGTGTGTGTGTGTGTTGTGTATGTAGGATCAGAAGTGTTGATATCAAGTATGGGCGGTGGTGGCGCACGCCTTTAATCCCAGCACTCGGGAGGCAGAGGCGGGCGGATCTTTGTGAGTTCGAGGCTAGCCTGGTCTACAAGAGCTAGTTCCAGGACAGGCACCAAAGCTACAGAGAAACCCTGTCTCGAAAAACCAAAAAAAAAAAAAAAAAAAAGTATCTTCTTCAATTGCTCTCCACTTCATGAAATAAGGGAAGTCCTCCCTATGTACCAGGAATTATCTCATTTAGCTAGTCCAGCTAGCCAAATTGCCCCGGCATCCCTTGTCTTTACTTCCTAAGGGCTGGAATTATAGGAGGACCAAAGCACTCATGGCTTTTACATGGGGTCTATGGATCCAAACTCAGGTCCCCATGTTTGCATGGCTCTACCACTGGCACATCTCAGTCCCTGTGTCACTGATGTCATGAAGCCTTTTGTACTCTCTCCTAGCCACCCCTCTCCCTCAACTGTGAACCATTATTCACTGTTCTACATGTATCATCTCATTGTGCTGCATTGCAGTAGTGACCCTCAGAACACATTCTGTGGACCAGGTGCTTCAGCACCTCCTAGACACTTGTGGGAAGCACAGATTCTCAGCATCCACTCTCACGTGTACTTAGTAAAAATCTCTGGGAGAGAAAAGCAGTAATTGGATTATAAAAACCCTTCCAGGTAATTTTTAATGTATACCAGAGCCTTAAGGTTAATACTTGTATGTGTGTCTCCAAACAGCACATTATTTAGTTATATATAATTTTAACATTTATGTCAATGAAATTATATTTTTATGCCCTTTGCTGCTTATTGATCTCTATATTATGTATTTGAGATTCATTCATATCCATAGATATACATCTAAGGCCATTCCTTTGCATCTCTTTAGAATTCATTGTTCAATAGATCATAGTTTATTTATACCTTGTAGAGCTTCTGTGGGCAATGCTGCCAGAACATCATGATTACTTGCCTGGTGCACCCATGCAGGGACACATTGCATAGCCTTTACTAAGCATTGGAAAGCAACGATGTTTGTAAATGGGGTGAGCAGGCTTTACAGGTCTGGCCTTAGCTGCTTTTTTATTGTTGTATTCAGATACCCAACAGAAGCAACGGGAGGAAGGAAGAGTTCATATTTTTCATTATGGTCTCAGGGGCTGAAGTTCATATTAGCAAGAAAGGCATGACAGTCAAGGCACCTTCACCCATGGTATCTTTTCCACTAATGGCAGTATCTCCATCATGGCAGTGTTCCCATCCATGGCAACATCCACATTCGTGGCAGCATCCCCATCCATGGCTTCAGCTCCATTCATGGTGGTGGCCTTGTGAGGCAGTCGCTTCTCACATCTTGATAGACTAGGACATAAAGAGTTTGGGTCAGATGCAGAGTCAGACTGTGTCCCTCAAAAGCCTGCCAATAATGACCCAATTTTTCCAGCCATGTCTCTTTCCCCGAAAGTTTCATTATCTCCAAAACAGCACCACCACCTGGAGAACAAATTAAAACACACAGTCAGGTCATGGAGGCTCATGCCTTTAGTCCCAGCATACAGGAGGCAGAGGCAGGCTGATCTCTGTGAGTTCTAGGCCAGTCTGGTCTACAAAGTTGACTTCCAGGACAGCCAGGATTGTAACATAGAGAAACTGTCTCCAAAAACCACAAAAATCACCAAAAATCCTATGAGCCAGCAGGAATATTTCATATCCAAACTATTCCCATTTTTTAGAACATGGTACAGAAGCAATATGTAATTGGATGCTTCCTGTCCCAACCGCCTGTTTCCAAATACCTGGCAGCCACTTACCACACAGAGGCTTATATTAATTATAAATTTTCAACCAATAGCTCAGGCTTATTACTAACTAGCTCTTACATTTTAAGTTAACCTATGTTCCTTATTTACGCTCTGCCACATGATGGTACCTTTATTAATGCATGGCATATTCATTTCCTGCTCCCTCTGTGTCTGGCTAGTGACTTCTGACTCCTCCCTTCTCCTTCCCATCATCCTTAGTTTGGTTGCCTTGCCTATACTTCCTGTCTGGTTACTGGCCAATCAGCGTTTTATTAAACCAATTTGAGTGACAAATATTTACAGTGTATAAGAGAATTATTCCACAGCAACAATCAACCTGTCCAAGTTCAGAGGCAGTATGTAGTCATGATGCAGAGGAGACTCTGTCAAAACCTAAGCTGAGACTATATGGTCCCACCTGATCTTGAAATAAAAATTTTCAAAGGCACAAATAGCCAGCATCACTGTGCATTTCTGGAATGAGCTATTAATGTAATGCCACACCTTTTCCAAAGGTCCCCCTCGAGTCTAATATAAACCCAGGAGCCATTCCACTGGTTCATCCCCACATGACTGTCTCTAAGTCAGCACATCTCCCAGCCCCGTCTCTTCTCTACTGAACCTGGAGAATGGAGACAGCTGTGATGTACACGTGCAGTGTTCAATCAGTGGCAGCTGCAGGGGGTGATTCAGTACACATGCGTCTGCTTCCAGACACACTGCAGGACCGCCCAAGGAAAGGGACGTTAGAGACTCTGAGAACTGGGTTCCATTTCAGGACTGCCTTCATATGGCATGACTCAGGGCTCCGGGTTCTGTTTGGCAGGAGGCAGTGAGAGCAGGTCAACAGAGCTGGAAAGGTGGCACCCAGCATGATGGGTGGTGGTTAGGGAGTGAGGTTATTTTGAGTCCCTTTGAGGTAGGCACACAGCAGTAAGGTCAAAAGTACCAGAGCCGGCCCCCCACCCTGTGTGCCTGTTGCAGGGTGCCAGTTCCTACACAGCACGCTCTCTCCAAATCTTACCTCCTGGGTTTCTGAAAATAATCCGTGTAATGCATTACCCAGGAGCTGGAACATTCTAGTGCACAGACATCCCTTCCTTTTCTTTCCCTGGCATTTCCTCTATATCACTGGAACCTAACTACACTCTATGTCATCTTAATTCAAGCAATGCTTACTAAATACTTCCATAACCTAGTTGAGATCTTGATACAGGAAATCAAGAAGTGAATGACAGAGATCTGGTCCCACTGTCAAGGTACCTATGGGAGCACTAGAGTTTCCCATGAACAGTCATTGGGAACTGGTCCAGTGAGCATAGTTTCTCTAAGGGTCTCTGATAGTTCCAGCTTGCCTGGGCCATGGGACTATTTGAGAAAAAGTCAGGGTAGACCCCCAAAGAGCTAATGACCCTGGTTCTAAGACCCTAATATTCCTATCCCTAATAATTCCCCCTCCCTCTCATATATATACATATATATTACCGTGTGTGTGTGTGTGTGTGTGTGTGTGTGTGTGTGTGTAATCACATATCCCAGGCTGGCCTTGAACTCTCTATATAGCCAGGGATAACCTTAAACTTCTTATCCTCCTGTCTGTATCCTCTCAAGGCTGGAATTTTCTCTCAAGGCAGGTGTCATACCTGGTTTATGTGTTGCTAGAGAACAAATCCAGGGCTTTGCACACTGCACTTTAGACAAGCATTTTTGTTAACTGAGCTAAATCCTAGCCCAGGAAAACTATATTTGATACATTAAGAATACGATTTGGATACCTCCCCCCCCCCCCTGTTTTGTCCCAGGTACTGTTTTCTTTGTAGATAAGTATCTGGAACCACTAATTGTGATTCTATTACTAGTTGGGACAGGCACAGGTGACCTCTTGGTCTGTGCTTCCATGGGAACCACCAGGAAAGAGCTTTAGATTGAGATAGAAAAATCACCCATTATTATAATTCCCACCTGAGATACATGACTTAGGACCAGGGTCCACTTGTCTTACTGACGTGAACAAGTCAGATTTCTCATGAGCACCTGCAACCCCCGTGTGTTTAACCATCAACTTTACGTATCATCTCGTAGCTCTGCTGCTTTGGGAATGCACATTGAATAAGATGATCTAATTTCTCCCATGACTCAGATACCCCTCTTCACGCAGCTACAGGAGCCTCTGAGCTCCAGACATTCTTCTTGCTTAGAGACCTTATTACGAGAAACAGGAGCCACGCACAGCATACCCGCAGCCCAGGGGGCCCATCTCAGCACTGAAGTCAGGCCAGCTTGCAGCGCATCCATCTCTTCCAGATTCTTCGCTATTGTCCCAGGAGCCCAGGCTTCCTTTACATCTGGTGAGGTGGCCTTGACAACTGCAGCCACCTAGAGACCTTGTGGGAAGATTCCGCCAGGAATATAATGCATGGTACTGTCAGAATGGGGTGCCTGGGAGGCGAGGGGCCAGAGAATCACCTTGCTGGAAGCTGCAGGCTATGTCTGTGATTTCCCCTTGGAACTCTCACCTTCTCTTGCTTGGATGGAGGTCAAACAAGTGAGTTTATCTGTTCTCCAGGTAGCTAATAGAGTGACGGGGTTCAGAAGGCAAAGAAGGACATGGGGCAGGAAACACAATCAGCAGTATCAGTATCGCCCAGGACCTGGCCCTCCCGAGCAAAGCCATCTGTGTTTGCCTTTCATCGAATATTAATTGGGCAGCAGCCTTTTCAGACCAAATAATTCCCTGTGGCCTGAAGCTACCATTCTGGATCTGCAGACAGTATTGAGGCATTCTGTCAAATCCCCAAGTTTTAAATTCTTTTTTGAGGTACAAAGCTCCCTTCTGGTCTAAGCTGAATTGAGTTAACGCTGATAAGGAAAGCCCTGAGTTGCTGTGTTGTTCCTTGTTTTGCTTTGCGGTTTGTTTTTTTTAAGATCTAATGTAGCCCAGGCTAGCCTTGAACTCACTACAGAGCTGAAGGTGACCTTGAATTTCTGATCCTCCTGTCTCTACCTCCCCAGTGCTAAAATTAAGCACCAGCACTGCCAATCCACTTCATGCAGTGCTCAAGATGGGATTCGGGACTTTGTGCATGCCAGGTAAGCTCTCGATCAACTAAGCTACCTGTCTCAAGGTTATCTTATACAGGGGACATTGAGGGCCAGTTGAGATGGCTCAGTAGATAAAGGTGCTTGCCATGTAAGCCCAGTGGCCTGACTTGAGTTTGATCCCTGCAATGAATGCATGGTGAAGGAGAGAATTGATTCCAAAAGTTGTCCTCTGACTTCTGCACACATGCTGTGGTATGTCTGCATCTGCAGTCTCTCTCTCTCTCTCTCTCTCTCTCTTTCTCTCTCTCTCTCTCTCTCTCTCTCTCTCTCTCTCTTTCTCTCTCTCTCTCTCTCTCTCTCTCTCTCTCTCACACACACACACACACACACCACCACCACCACCACCACAAACAACAACAACAATAAATAAAAAAACAAGCCAATGAGAGACTCTGTCTCAAAAAATGAGGTAGATGTTGCCTGAGGAATAATAACCAAGGCTGGTCCCCCAATACACATATGTGCACACATGTGTATATACACATGCACCTGCATACAAATGAATACACATGAAGCACACACACACACACACACACACACCATAGGGCGTATCCTGCACTAGGACTGCTAGGGCCACACGGGAGATGGCCTATGTAGATACAGCCTGCAGAGAAACCCTATATGTTCGAAATGATAAAGCCACAGGGAACAGCTGGACTAGGGCTGAGACAGGGCAACAGGGTGACTGCAATAGTAGCATGGAACTAGGCTGAAGCAGAACAAGAGACGACTGTATCTCTCTACCTGTCGCTAGTGGTGCTAGCTGGGGGAGCTTTCTGCCACCTCCTCTCCGGAGCATTAAGAACAGGCAGCAGCACCCTTGAGGTCTCACCTTGAGGTCTGCTCTGTCCAGCTGATCTGTCACTGTAGTGCTGCCCTAGGGAGCGGCTCTAGGGCCAGGTGGCTGAGCAGGGATCCTGGAGCTTCCCTTAGGAGGGCCTTGGGAAATGCTGCCTGACTGTATCTTCTGCCTGCAGACCCTCTAGGGCCTGTCCTAGATAATCACGCAGTCTGGGAAGAGGAGCAGGGAGGTGAAGGGTGGGTACGGCCCTTCATCAGGGTAGCAGATGCAGCTGTTGTGAATGATTGACCTTCGGGACTGAAGGCAGGAGCTAAGCTGATGGGAGGACTCCCCGTGGGGATCTGACTTGCCCCAAGCTACCTGCCCACCAACCTTTCTCTGCCTCCTTGAGGAGGTGTGATACCGGGTTGGGCCTGTGGGTGGGGGTGATGGATGGGTGCCTGCCTCCTGCTACGTCTCATTTCTCTGAGTCTGCACTGGCGCTTCATGCCTGCAGCAGCCGCTCCTGAGGAATGAGCTGAGCTGTCACTTCCCCTGTGCACCTGTTTCCTTCAGCCTTGTGAGTGTGAAGGTGCTGGGTGGGAGCGGGGAGCTGCGGTTGTCTGCTCCTGCCGGTCCCCCTGCCTCCCCTCTGTCATCCTAACCTCTGTGCTCAAGTCCCCGGCCTGCAGTAACTCGGTTTCATTCATTCCTCGTATTGTTGTCTTCCTTTTCCTTTGCAGACATTGCCTTCTTCCCACACATGGCCAGAAACATGGGCTCTCCATGCTCTTGTTCCCCACCACACAGACACATGAGGACACCACATTGCGTAGAGGCAGTCACCTCTGCGAGCCCAGCTCATGTCTAGGGGGTCTGTCCTGTGTTCTAAATGGGAGACCACCCACACCAGCCTAGTTCAAGTCCAGGCTTGGTAAACACAAGCCTCCTTGTCACTGGTGCCTGTCTGTGCACAGCTGTTCATAGCCCATGTGTTCAACTGAAAATTAGCCAAGAATTTTTCAATAATGTGGGGCCAAGTTTGTGCACTTCCTTCTCAGGGGATGAACCCTATTGTTGTTCTCTCTCCCTCTCTTCCCTCCCTCCTTCTTTCTCTCTCTCCCCTCCTCTCTCTTTCCTGTGTATGTTGGCAGGCCATGCGTGTCTCAGAATTATCCAGAAGTAAAGGCACAAGAACTGAGTCACTCAATTAGCAACGCATTTGTGTTTGTGTGTGTGTGTGTGTGTGTGAAAGAGAGAGAGAGAGAGAGAAAGAGAGAGAGAGAGAGAGAGAGAGAGAGAGAGAGAGAGAGAAGGGGGGGTTCGGTGAGGCATCCATGGCAGGCCAGCTTCCCTGTAGCTCACTGGAGCATCTCTGACAGTTGCCTTGGTAAAGCGATTAGCGCTGTGCTCTGGCTGCAGATGCCATGTTTACAACAAGCCAGGGAATATATCAAACATTGTGGGGAGATTGTGGGGTCGATCTGCTCTTTGCAGAATAGCAGGATTCAATGTCTATGGTATCATAGTGGCATATTGTGTCACTCGGCCACCCCTGGCTTTCAGTGAGGCTGAACACTCACTTTTTGTTTCCCAGCCTCTGCAGCAGAGGAAGGCAAGAGACAAGAAGCCTGTAGGGAGATGGAGGGAGCCAAGTACAGTGGCATTGGGCTCAGCCAGCTACACAGCCCCTTCAGTGGATCTTAAGGTCCATTCATTCATTGGTGGTTCTGGAGACAGAGACAATGACCCCCTAAAAGACACGCTGGTCAATGCATTAATCCCATGTCCCTAGCTCCCAACATTAGTCTCAACCCCATCTCCTCCTCATTCTTACTTTCTCTTTAGAGATCAAAGAACAAGAGAGATAGCCTTGGCTTTGATCAAATTTACATTAAAATATGTCTTTGTCAAATGTAAGGATTCATTATCAGTCACAAATTATTGACAGCTCCATGGTTGCTGGCATCAGTTTGGTGGAATTGCTACCTGTGTGCCAGGATAGAATGGTTGCATGAGCAGGTGTAAAATTGGTTCAATAGTCTCTGCCTTACAGAGGCCATTCTAAATGATGGTCCTTGAAAACTGCCCCCAAATCAGACCCATTGTCCCGGCACCCTTGGTACTCATGGGCTCACCTCTGCGTTACTCTTTGTCTTGATTCAAGTTGGCATTTATTTGAAGACTTGACAGTCTGTGCCCATGATGGAAGCTATCCACTGGGCATGACTGGACTTGGCCTGTGGATCCTGTTTGCTCTACACTATGTATCTTTTGTCCTCCTTGGTCCAGTGATACTTCAGATGCATGATTCTCTTGAAAAATATAAATTGAAGTTCAAGAGGGCAAACCTGCAGGCCTTGCTGCAATTGTGGAATCTTCATCTCTTCCGCTTCACTGGCAGTTGCTGAAGAGTTTGGGGTGATGGAGTAACGTGACCTGGTTTGTATTTTCTATGGATCCCTCAACCTGCAGGAAGAGATGAACTAGACCTTAAGGAAGTGGAAACCTACAGGCTGGGAAGCAGGGAAGCACATGGTGCCTGAGAGGAAGGCCTTGAGCAAGACAAGGGCTGCACCCACAGAAAGGAGCTGCAGGAAAGGAAATCCTTGTAGGCAAGAAGGTTAGTCACCAAATCTGGTGACATGTGTTCCTGAGGAACCCAGGATTTTCTCTCAGATATTTGTCTGACACTCTACCTGTCCCACACATCTGCTTTGGCAAGGCCAGGCCCTTGTGTAAGTTGTGAAGGTATAGAGCGTGCGAGAGACCTTCCCTTATTCTGTAATGCTCTTGCATCTCTCAGAATCAAGGGGAAAGAAGCAACGTGGATGCCAATGGATGTCAGTTTCTGCCTAACAGGTGGTTGATCATGTCTACACCTAGGAACAAGGAAGCCAGAGAAAGAATTCATGATGACAGTGTAAACGGAGACAGCTTCATGGCCTTGTGAGTAGGGAGGATGCATCCTCAGCTCCAAAATCATTCACTTGGCTGAGCTGAGTTCAACCCATGACTACCACCATGGTACATGCATTCCCCAGAATTCTCACATTAGGCTGACCGCTATGCCTACCAAAGACAGAAGTGACGACAGAGGAAGCCACACTATACTCTGTGGTAGCACCCAAACCTACAGACTTCCCTCCTCTGATGCCAGGCTCATCAGCTTGGAAAAGACACGCACACTTTTTCTATCCAGGCTCAGTTTTACTCTAAGCCCAGCCATAGAGTTAGCGTAGACATAACCCTTCAGAGGGCCTGACCCACAAGGATCTGTCTGTTACCATGGTTTTCTATCAGGCTCCGAGTGCCCACCCCTTTACTCTTTGACATGGAGGTGCTGCCTGTCGGGAAACTTTGCTCGATGTTGGCAAGACTGTCAGCCACTGAGGCGTGACATACACTGCAGCAGGAAGCATGCGCTAAATGCGGAAATGGGTTCCTATCTCAACCGCACCAGCTTGTTCTACACTGGAAGGCATTTGGCGGCTATTCACAGGAGCTGAGCCCCAGCCACGGGGATTAAACAAGCACAAGCCAGGGCCTCCTTTCCACACCTGGCCCCTTCTCATCTTCTCAGTCTCAGCTGACTGGCCCCTCCCTGAAGCATCCTTCTGTGGTGTTTTCCTCGCGGCTACGACAAATACCCGATAAAAGCAGCTCCAGGACGTTGCTACTGTTGCTGTTGGCTTGCCTTTTGGATCACATTTTGAGGAATGAAGACCATCATCATGGGAAGGCATAGATGGTATCAGGACCGTGAGACAGCTGATCACATTGTCTCTACCACTGGGAAGCAGAGAGAGATGGATGCTGGTCCTCAGAGCTCTCTCTCCTTTTCATTCAGTTCAAGGCCCCCAACCCATGGGATGGTACAAGCAATTTAGTGAAGGAGAGGATTTACTTGGCCCCCATGTCCTGGAAATAATCCATCACTGAGGGGAATCAGGGCAGGAACTCAAGCAGGAGCGATGAGGGGAAGCTACGTACAGGCCTACTCTCTCTGACTTGCTCGGCTTGCTTTCTTACAGCTCAGCTCTTCCCCACCCCCCCCCTCCTAGAGATGGCACTATTCACAATGCCCCCTCAGGGATGGCACCATTCACAATGCCCTCCCCAGGGATGGCACCGTTCACAATGGCCCGGGCCTTCCTCTATCAATCAGCGACTAAGAGTATGCCACACAGACATGACCACAGGCCAGTCTGCCGGAGGTCATTCTTCAGCTGAACTGCCCTCTTCCCAGGTGTCTCTGCATGTGTGTCAAGTTGACAGCTGAAGCTAGCTAGGACACCTGCCCTAGTTTGTTTTTCTGTTGCTGTGGTAGGAAAGAAAGGGTTTCTTTCATCTTCCAGCTCAGAGTCCATCATGAAGGGCCATCAGAGCAAGACCTTGGGGCAGGAACCTGAAGGCAGGACCTAGGAACTCTACTTCACTGCCTTGTTCCCCTGGCTTGCTCAGCCTGCTTTCTTATAACACCCAGGGCCACCACCCAGAGATGACACCATCGTCAGGGAGAGAGGCCCTCCAATATCAGTTGTTAATCAAGAAAACGCCCTCACAGATTTGCCTGCAGGCCAACACGATGGGAACATTTTCTCAATTGGCAGAAACTAATCAAGACACCTACCTGGACCAGCCTGTCCAAGTCGTAGCCCCTGTATCACATCCTTCCTGTTACATCTCCTTGTTTCTCTTGGTGACACTTGGAATGCTTTTGAGGACATAGTCCCTGACAATCTGCCTCTCCCAATTACACTCTGAGCTCCGTCGGAATGGAGACCTCTGTCTCCAGTACATCCTGCCACTGAGCATGGGATCTGGGACTTGAATACCGGCGGAGTGCACAGACAGATGAATAAAAGATCAGCGGTTCATTTTGCATGGATACTGCCCCTCCCTGTTTCTGAGCTGATGGGCTCAGGGCTGTGGTTCTGAAGAATGACAAGCTTGGGAGCAGAAGTCCCTTGAGTCATAGCAAAGAGACGGAAAGAGCAGACAGGTCTCCAATGGAGCTGTCGCCTGTTCTCTCATCAGTGCCGACCAGAACATGAATGGAAATATGGCATCTTCCAGATTGCACTAGAAGGGACTTGAGGAGATGAGTCAGGTGAGTGGACAAGTGGAGAACCCTTCTAGAGGAGCTTTGCAGACTTCCCCAGATGACGGTGAGGTGGGATCTTAAAGAAAAGTCAAGGTGAATAGTTATCATACTGAAGCCAGCATCTCTATCCCAGAAGTGGAGCGGACAGAATTGTTCCTATGTGATTAGACTCCTGGGTCTCACAAAACACCTTCGTTTTTTCTTACTCCTGGACTCCGTGAAATAACATGGCAAATGACATGGTGTGCAAGTGTCTATACAATTACCAGGGGAGAAGGGACAAGGGTTTTCCCATAGTCTCAGAAGAGTCTGTGCTTTCCAATCTTGGTTAAAGGCAGTGTTCAGAGGCACCCTCATGGTGAGGTCATAGAGATCATAATTCTAAAGGAAGTAGCTGTGAACTCACAACCTCCACATGGACCACCAAGAGTCTCCCCAACCTGTGTCCGCTCCTGGTGAGCAGCCTGTGTTTGATGGGGCAGTCTACTGGGCTTCAGTGTTGGCTGTGAATTGATGGCCACCATTTGGGTAGGAGGCGGCTGCAGCGATGTAGAGGAGAGACAGGACATGACAAAAGCTGGTGGTATTCTTGCCCATGTCTCTCCCCGTGTGCTCTGGTCCCCACATTCCTTCTTGGTTTGTCACTTGCAGGTGCTCAAAGCTTTAAGTCTCAGACTGGATTGGTTGTCTTGTGGCTATGACAACACAACAGGGGAAAGCCATTTCCTGAAGGGTGATGTCCTGGTTTACTTTTGCTGTTGCCGTGATAAATGCCACGGCCCCAAACAACTTAGGACAGGAAAGGGTTTATTTCGTCTCACACTTTACAAGGGAAGTCAAGGCAGGAATCTGGAGGCAGGAACTGAAGCAGAAACCTCAGGGGAACACTACTCCCTGGCTTGCTCTGCTAGCTTCCTTCTCCAGCCCAGGCCCACCTGCTGAGAGATAGTTCTGCCCACAGTGGGACGGGGGACCTCTTATATCAAGGAGCAATTAAGAAAATGCCCCACCTAGGGCTAGAGAGAGATTTCAGTGATTAGGAGTGATGGCTACTCTTCCAGAGGGCCCAGGTTCCTTTCCTAGCATCCACGGGACATCTTGCAACCATCTGTAACTTCAGTACCAGGGCGTCTGATGCCTTCTCTTATTCTTCCTGGGCCCTAGCCGCACAGATGGTGCAAAGACATACATGCAGGCCAAACAGCCGTACATGTTTTGGGTTTTTGTTGTTGCTGTTATTGTTGATGTTGTTTTGTAGAAAATTCTCCACAGATGTGGTCATAGGTCAACATTATGAAGGCAATTTCTCAAGTAAGATGCCCTCTTTCCTAGTATGTCTCAGTTTGTGCCAAGTTTATAAAAACTAACCAGAAGGGTTGGGTTTTTTTCCTTACAGTTTAAGGGCCCTGTCCTGTCCCTGTCATGGTAGGGAAGTCATGGTGGCAAGAGCTTGGGGCAGCTGGTCATGTTGCATGTGTAGTCAAGAAGCAGTGAGATATGCATGCATGCATGCTGGTGTTCACCCCCCTTCTCTGTTTTATAGACTGAAGGTCCTCTGAATGTCCCCACTGACATCTTCCCTCATCAGTTAATCTAATCAAGACAAACCCTCACAGACACACCCAGAGTCTGCATAGTACCTCACAGAAGTACCTGGAGGTTTATTGATGACGAAGTTAACCATCCCATAGGCTGAGAAGTGTTGGGACTCTCTCCCTGCTAGGAAATAGATGGCAGTGTTCTGGCCAAACCCTACCCATGGGCTAACTACATCAGAGTCATCTGGATTACTTGTTAGAAATGTAGATTTTTACAGTTGTGCATGGAGGTATACTCCTCTAATCCCAGCACTGAGAAGACTGGAGCAAGAAGATCTTGAGTTCAGGCCAAGCCTGGGCTACATGACTTCTGGGCTAGCCTAAATAATGAAGTAATATTCTGTCTCAGAGGACAAACCAACAAAACCATGCAGGTGACAGAGCCCATGCCCAGTTCCACACAGTCAACCAGTCAGGACGAGAAACAGGATCTGTGCTTTGGATTGATTCTGCAAGTCTTCATTCCGATGCATGACAAAATTTGTGCCTTGACCCTGGGGGAAAATTCTAGACTTCTTCAAATTGGCTTCATATTGTGCAAAGCTTTTCTTGGCTCGTATCCATTTCTCTTCTAGTTTATGACAACCCAAATTCTCTCTGCCCTTCAGGTTTACCTCAGCTTCCTGACACACCACAAGTCTTTTTCAGATTTCTGCAGGTTTTATTAGCTTTGTTCTTCCAGCTCCTGGCAGTTCTACCCTGTTCCTTTTTCCCTTTATGTGACTCTGGTTCTCTCAATTCAGTTACAGTAACAAATGTGGTAACTCCACTAATCCTGCCTTATGTGAGCTCTTTTTCTCTCCTCCCCCCTCTCTCTTTCTGGGTTTTCAACTGTCTCTAGAGGGGAGAGTACCATTCAGTAAAGAGTCTTCTCCACAGTTGATCTGACTCTCACCATGGTGGCTAGCTGGTTTTAGGCTCCACCAAACAGAAACCAAGCGGTCTTACCTCGCCAACTGCTGGGGATGACAGACCTTTCCAGAATCAGAACCTCCCTGCCTCCCTTCTTCTTTGTATGTATGTGTGTGTGTGTGTACATTTGTACACATGAGCTCGCTTTTGTGTGTCTGATGATATACATGAAGCATTTGGAGGCCAGAGGCCAATGCCAAGTGTTTTCCCTGATGGCTCTCCATCAAGTCCCCCGCTGAACCTGGAACTTACCGTGTAGGCCCCAGTGGCTGTCCAGTGAGCTCCTGTAATCCTCCTAGCTCTACCTGCCCAGGACCAAGATTACAGGCCCACACTCTCCTAAGCAGACGTTTTATGTGGCTGTTGGATATCAAACTCAGGGCCTCATGCTTACAGGCCAAGCCAGCTCCCCCGCCACCTTCTGCTCTATAGCTTAGTGTTCTAAGACTGTCTTTCCTCTCACTACTTCCTCTTGAAGTGGTAGAAAATGGGCCCAGAAATTTTCAAATTATATTCGTCAAAAAGTGTGTTCATGCAAGGAGTTGGCTGGCCACCACGGTTTGAGAACTGCTCAGTTCCATCCACCATTGTTTGTCTCTCATCCAAGACCTCCAGGGAGCAGTCTTCTTCGGGTCTTGCTGTTGTGGAGATTTGAACGTTCCCCCTGAAAGAGCCATGCTGAAGGTGTGGTCATCACCCTGTGTGCTTTGAGGACTTGATGGAAGTGTTAGGAGGTGGGGCCTAGTGGGAGGAAGTTAGGTCACTGGAGGAGTGTCCTGGCGGGACTGTTGAGTCTCTCTTGTCCTGTCCCCTTTCTCTCTCTGTTTCCCAGCTGCCCTGAAGTGGACAAGTCTCCTCTCCCATGCATTTTTCACCATCATCTATTCTTTCATCTCAGGCTCTAGCCAAAGAAGTCAGGCAGCTGATCAAAATGCCCCAAACCGCAAGGCAACATCAACCCTTCTTCTCTTGATTATCTCATAGTTTGCTCAGTAACAGAAAGCTAACAACACAGGGTCCAGAGATGGCCAAGGCTTTAAGCTCAGTGCTTCCCTGAGAACCTAGTCAGGACTTTGAAAGGAAGCGTTGGACAGGTCAGAGGCCAAAATCTATGAGATGCCTGAGAGCCGGGTACTGCTCAGCCGGTTTCCACCCCGTGAGTCCAGACATCTCGATAAGCTTCAGTGAACATCTGGAGGCATTTTGGCAGCTTGCTAAAATCACATTCCATACATAGAAAGTTTGGTCCATTCCTTAGCCTCGTGTCAGACTTTGCTCTTTCTCTTTCCTTTTGGAAACCATAATGAAATGGGCGATAAATCCATTTTAATACCTTTCCCGTAATCCATCAGGCTTTGGGAAAACAGTGGGTTTTGAGAGTTCTCCCAAGGGAACATCTGAGTTTTACAAAGTCATTTGAAACCCCCTTTCCAGTACATGTGGCATCACCTTTCCACAGTCTTTAGGCATGACATAATTTCCATCTGCATTTTCCCTTTGCTCTTTACTGGTTCACTGGAATCCCTGCGAGTCGTAACAGAGATGTCAACTGCAGAGGCTGATGAAGTCCGAGGACCACGTCCCCTTTCATTAGGGTGTTCTTTATTCTTTCTGGAAGCCTTAAGAAGCACAGTTGCTCTGTGACCAAAGCTTGTTCTCCTTTTATTAAAAAGATGGCTCTGAGGGACTCGGAATACAAGGCTTGGAGTTTTAGAAATCGAGAACGGGCATGACCTGCTCGTTCCTTTTCCTGCACGTTAGCTGTTTGCACATTTTAGGATGGATGTACAGCTATGCCTTGGCTGCATTTTTACTAGACTCCATTTGCTGAGCACCAGCTAGGTGGAAGACAGCAGAGAAGAACCACAGTCATTTCTTCCAGAATGAGCAACATGCTGAAATCCAGGCTGGCAACTGATTCCGCATCCACAGTCTGGGGAACAGAAAATAAGCCACACTTTAATATTATAGATCCAATTTAGATCTTGGAGTCAAAGGGCTGTGTGGCGTGTGTGACAGCTCCCTGCTACTAAATGTAAGCATCGGAAGGTGCGTGTGTTAGTTCATTTATCTGTTTCTCTAGCAAAATACCCAGAGCTAGGTAATTTACAGAGAAAAAGAGGCTTCCTTAACTCACGATTTGGAATGTTGGGAGTGTAAGATGGGAAGCCTCATTGGCTTATTCACTGGTAAAGGTCTCATGGTGGACAGCATTGTGGGAGAGAAAGAGGTCAAATGACAGACAAGAAAGGAACCCAGATTATCACAGGTTATTCTTAATAACAATTTATTCTCATGAGATGGCACTCCTTCCTGAAGACCTAGTCACTGCCCCCCAAGGAGCCACCTTTTGCAGGCTTCACCACCAGGGCTGAGAACGTGGCTCAGTGGAGAAAGGGCTGTTTCCCTCAAGTCTGAGGATCTGAGTTCTAGCCTCCAGCACCCATGGAAAAACCAGATGCAGTGGTGCACACTTGTAATCCCAGTACTCAGGAGACAGAGGCAGAAGGATGGCTGGAGCTAACTAACTGGCCAGGCCCGTCTAGCCAAATCAGGGAGATCCAGGTGCAAAGAGAGGCCCTGTCTCAAAAAACAAGGTAGAGAGGGAGTTGAGGAAGACCCTCAATTGTTGACCTCTGGCATATGTGAGGGCACACACACATATACACATGCGTACACGTAACATGCTGAGATATCTAGTATTGCTTGCATGTGTTTAAGGACTCTCTCAGTAGTCATTAATTGACTCCAGCTCTTCTCATAGGAGGCGGAGGCTTGTGAGATTTCCCTGAGGCCAA